GTAGGAGTATAACCTCAACTTGTGGTCTCAACCATGACTCGTGCATCAAAGCCATGGCTCATGTATCAAAGCCATGACATGAATCGTCGAACCATAAAATTATTTCCACTGGGTTCCTCGAGATGGGTTTGAATGGATTCAGCATTTTGTTGCCGTCGACTCGCCTCCAATTGCCGTTAATCTTCACGGCTTCTTCCAGCGACAAAGGCTTCAACATAATTTTTCGACCATCGTGTTTGACCTTGTAACAGTTGGTTCCACCGTAATGACACACTTCTCTTTCGAATTTCTAAGGACGTCCTAGCAACAAAATGGTTTCCTGCATCGGAGCAACATCAAAGAGAAGCTCATCTTTGTATTCACCAATTTCAAATCGAATTTGAGCTTGTTTGTTGACTTTGATCGCCCCGTAATCGTTTATCCATTGGAGGTTGTAAAGCTCGGGGTGCCAACTGGTTTGCAGCCCAAGTTTCTTCACCACGTCCTGGCTAACGACATCGGCACAACTGCCTCCATCCACCATCACGGAGAGCAGCTTGCCACTTACCAAGCATCGTGAATAAAACAAAGTTTGATGTTGGCTGACATCTGGGGAAACTTCAAGTGCCAGGGCTTACCTGCTAACTACAATCTCCTCTTCCACTTTCTCTTCATTGTCGGATCTCTTCTCATCGTCAGCGAGGTACTCGCCCTCGCGAATGACCAGAGTCCTTGAATTTGGACAATTATTCGCTTTATGGGCTCGGCCACGGCATTTAAAACATTGAATGCCTCGAGATCATTCAGTAGCAGCTGGAGGAACATTCTTGGGAGCCGATTTGGTGATTTCAGGCTTTAATTGAGGCAAATTGAGATCAACTAGAGGTTCTGCCACCAGGTTGGTCACCAACGAATATCTTCGGCTTGGCATCGTCTTTTGATGCCTCTCAACCTTGATTTCAAGATGTACTACCTCTTCCAACTCAATAACTCAATTCTATCTCTTGATGAATTTCTTGGTTTAACACATGAAGGAATCGAGGAATGGTAGCTTCTCGATCGTCCTTTATAGCAGCTCACATCTTGAGCAACTCAAGCTCACGAAGTTAATCCTCCACAACACTCGATCCCTGCCGAATTTGTTCCAAGTTATCGCTGGTAGTACCCAGCAGCAAATCTGTTCCTCATGAAGCCCCTTAGTTCTGTCTAGGTCTCGATCTCAGGCAGAAAGTTCTGGGATCATCAGAGTCTGATCCATTCCCACCATTGAGCGGCGTAATCCGTAAATTCATATGTCACCAAGAGAACCTTCTGTGGCTCCATATAACCCCTGCATTAAAAGAAAAGAATCACTTCCCTCTCCCAATCCAGGTAGCTAAAGGCGTTGTTGGAGCCAGAAAAAGATGGGATGTTTGGTGGTTTCAGGGGGACGGCGATCGTGATCAAGATCATCGTGACGGCATTCACTATGGTCGTGGATGCGCTCCATCAAGGTCGGATCACCTCCAATTTGAACTCCCTAGTTCTGTGCTGCCTCTGGCCTCACATCAGGCTTGGCTATATTGGTCGGTGAAATAGGGGCATTAACCTTCAAATTTAACTCGGCCAACTGCCGATTAAGTTGCAACCACCGATTGCAAAGCCTCGGCCGCACCGAGAGATGATTCTCCAATGTTTTGCTGGTTAAATTAAGTCTCGTCGTCAAACTCTGACTCTTCTGGTTTTTGCAAGACAACTGGATCCTTGTGCCTCGTTCATGCAGCGACAGGTACGTTCTTCTTCTTCGTTGTTGCCACTGCGTTAAACCAGGCTATGATACTAGTTTATGATCCCTAGATGGGTCTCTTTCGATAAGAGTGAGAAGCTTAATCAATTCAATGGGAAAGGATTGAACATCGGACAAGAACACACGGAAAACAGGGCGATGTTTGGTGTGTTTTGGATTGTCAATTTCGTGCAATCTCTCACAAGGGAGAAGGCTCGAAATAGATAGGTAGAAGCCAGACCACAAATAATGTGGTTTACTTGTTTGATACAAGCACACGAATCACTCGGAATCTACCAAGCAATTCAATCAACTCACAAAACGAAAGCTAATGAACCAAAACTTGATGTTTGTATTCAGTTGAACAAAATTTATCTATTATAATGCAATTGAAAGGCTTAAATAGAGCCAGGCTAGTTAAACAAACTAACATAAACATAGACAAACTCAGAATCAAAGTGCAAAACAGAAAAGGTAAAGTAATCCTATTCCGAGAAGGATTCAGGTTCCTTGGTAAGCAAGACAGTTTCGACAGGCTCCAGACTATCTTGCCCTCTTTCGTTTGGAGCCTTCTAGGTATCAAATCAATCATCCAATGTAGGGGTGTGCATTCGGTCGGTTCGATTTCGACCAAACCGAAATTATGAATATCGGGTCCTCGAATTCTCCCAAACCTCAAACTGAATTATAATTCGTTTCGGTCGGTTTAAACCGAAATATAATTCAGTTCGGTTTGGTTTTTCACATAAAACCAAATTTTTGAGGCTACTTGTAGCTTCTCACTTTTAAATTATTTTTCACCCCTAATATAAACAATAAATATGCAATTATATGCATAGTCAATGATAAAATCAAACTTTCAACACATAAGCCATAAAACATTTCAAATATTTAAGTCTAAAAACAACTAAAAACATAAAAATCTACCATTTGGAGGTTTCAATTATAGTATTTCGGTTTTTCAATCGAAAGTTTAGAATTTCGGTTTGGTTGAAGAACCCTGATTTCTGAAATATTGATATTTTCCTTCCGAATTCCGAACCGAATAGCATTATTCCGGTTTGGTTCGGGTTTACCGAACCGTTTGCCCACCCCTAATCCAATGCCTTGTCTTTGTAGATTAATACAAATACTTTCATGTGGTATGAAGCTCCTAACTTGATTCTCAGTCTCTTCCTCGAATGGAGCTCCAAAGTAGGCTTAACAGCCACGTTTCCAGACTTAGCCATTTTCAGGCAGTTTTTCGGCTTTGGCCGAGGTTTTTGAGAAGCTTTGAAAATGACCTTCCTGACTTCTTCTCGAGCACCCACGCATCCCAGCTTGTAGATGAGCACTCCAGCTTCAAAACAAACCCTTAATCTCGAATTTTCATCGAGCCATTGGTGAGAACCAAGCCTGCAAAGTTGGTCTCCTGAAACAATCTCAACACTTAGCCAATATTCAATGTTCTTCATGCTAGTTGAAGTTTCCTCTTTACCAAGCAATCATGATTCATAGATTGAGTCATTTAGGATCATATCACCATACCCGCTCCCATCTTACCTACAAGACAGATACCACCCATCTCATAACAAATCAAACTAAAAAATATAATGAATCAGGTCAAAATTGCCACCCTAAACTCAAACCCTCCTGAGAAAAGAGCCTATAGCGTAAACATAACAGGTCAATAATGAAAGTGCGCCATAAATAATTCCATAACAAAATCAAAGTTCGTGAGCCTTAATCACTAAGCGCACTAGAGTACAAGGGAGTAGGGACACATTTCATTAGTAGACCCTCTTCTTTCTTGGAGGTTATTTCGTGCTTTGAATTGCGTCTGTCGCATCGCCATGCCTCATATGTCACAACCAAAAATTCAGTTTTTTTTTCACTTCGAGAGTTATTGAGACCTAATAAGGAGTTATTGAGACCTAATAAGTTCTTTACATGACCTAACTGAGTTTATGCAATCTTCAAATCAAATTTTAATGGATGGATATTTTGTATTCTCCTAGCAATTGAAATTATTAAAATTTACCCATTTTAAGGAAGTTATTTCTGTGGATTTTGTAATACTATAGAGAAACGGGTACTAATGCAATCCCTAGAAGCAAGCCAATTGAAGGTCAGAAGTCATCTTAGAGAAGCAAGCAATCACAGAATAAAAAGGGAATTTTTTTTGGTTAAGTCCATAAACAACAACCTTCGTTGCCAACTTTGTGAAGATGCACATGCTTCGTGGGGGCTGTTCAAAGGTAACCAAGGCTTTGTCGTAAAAGTACAAGTGTTGAAGAATGAAGACCATGCTTTGATAGAAGGAGAGTGAGCCTTCTGGTGGCTCAACGAAGGTTCTCAAATTGCTATTGACACATAGTCAAAACAGAAGCAAATGCGGAATTTGACTAAGTATGGGTTTGTGTTCGAGAATGATGTGATCCTAGATCGTGGCCCAAAACCATTCCCTTTGATGTTCAAAGAAGAAACCAAGTCAAGGGAAGAAGAAGCTGGAAATTTGGATAAGTCTGGGAAACAGTCCGTGGTACCTACTTTGGGAGCTTATTCGTTTTTTCTGGGAGACATTATAGGGAAGCTAGGTGTTGAGAATGAGAGTATAAGTCTTGCTAAAGATAATAAAGGCGTTGGATGAGAAGATGGAAGCTTCGTGGACACCAAACGAGCAGCCTAAAGATTGTATGGTGATCAGGAAAAAATCCCCTATCAGGTAGGTTAAAATTCCCAATAGGGGATCTGAGGTTTGTGATAGGGGAATGAGATCAGAAGGACCTCCTATTATGAGGTTGCTAATCCACGACAGGGGAATTGCAGATGCACAATTGGGGAATTTGAGGACGTTTGTTGTAGCTGTGTTTTGTTTATTTTATGTATAGGGTTCAATTAATTATTTTTTAAGTGATGTTTTTGCATTAGTTTTAGTTTTATTTTGGGCTCCTACTATAAAAGGAGTTGAGGGTTATTGTAACAGGTAGACTTATGACAATGAAAAACCCCTTTTTGGTTCATTGAGTTTTTACTCTTTAATTTTGCTATCGTCGTTGGTGGACTCTAATCGCGTTGAGTATGCCCTCAGATTGTGGTCGAGCTTCTACCTTATACTGTTCGAGCCTTCTTCCAAGTGGTCGAGCTTCTACCTTATATTGTTCGAGCCTACCTCTATACTGACTGCGCGACTTTGATCAAAAGAACCTAAACTTTCACGAGCTCATTATCTTATCAGGTACTAAATGGGGAAGAGCTGTATGTCAATGAGAGCATTGTGCCTTTGAGGATAGTGGCAGGCAGGTCTCTGGGTGCATGAAGACTCTAAGCACTTTTGCCAAAGCTCCAATGTAAAAAATCATATGCCATAAATAAGTGGTTGGCGGTGGCGAGTGGAAATGCCCAATGCTTCGGGAATGCTTGTTTCTTTCACTAATTGCAACCAAAAATAATACGGATTGCAAAAAATGTTGTATACATTTTCCTTTTTTCCTCTAAAAATACAACCCCTCGAGCCAAATTGTTGCCAGTCCTCAGGATCTGAGGAAAATGAAATAAATTTAGAGCATAAAAATGGGGAAAAGGGTCAAACAAAGGGGTTTTGGTTTACTGGGTTAGGCTTCAACAAGCTCTATTGATTTCACTGCTCTTCTTTGGCTTAATCCATTTCCTGTGGAAGACGCCACTGCGAACGAGTCCGGTCTGCTCATTCCAGGGCTGCAGGCTACCACTCCATCACTGCCTTGCTGAGACTCCGAGATGCTATTGCTAGTGTTATTAGTGTGATCATGTCCCACAGGCGGGCGACCCACATGTTGCCTCACGGTTCTGGATTTTTGTGGCACGGCAGCAATTTCCGAGTGATGAACACTTGCTCTACTAACTTCCGAGAAGTTTTCTGTTAGTTCTGTGTGGTTGGCGCTCACCCGGCTTACCTCCGAAAATGACCTCGTCAATATCGTTTTGCTCTTTAGGAACAAGCATACCACCGCGCAATCGTCAATTCTGCTGCCTGGATGTCTCATTCTCCACATACGAACCGCGTACTTAACCAGTAATTTTGCCGCCATTGATCGCTTCCTTGCTGATGCGACAATGTTTATCACCTCCTCGTTCGTCAACACATCCCATATCTTCAAATTAAAAATGCGACGTGAGAATATTCGAGATTAATTAATTAATGGTATAATAAATGGAATGGTGCTTTTGGGCTTTTTGCTTACTCCGTCGGTGGCTAGGACCACGAATTCGTCTTTGTTTGTGAGCCTCCTGTAAGAGACTTCAGGGGTCGAGATGAGGCCGTAATCCTTAAGGCAAAAATCTCCAAATGCTCTTGCCATGGCCAGACCAGGGCAGTCTTCATCAGGCATCCATATTCTAAATATCTCAGGCTCTTCTTCCATGGCGAATACCCTGCCATTGTTCTTCTTAATTCTTTCCGCTTCGCCTAGAGAATAAATGAACCAATAAAGATCAATAAAAATACCGAGTCCATGAAATGTAGATCAAAGAGATAAAGAGACCCACTTTGGACACTGGGTTTCAAATCCACGGTGAGTTGGACTGGGATTAGCTGGTTTTTGTTTCCCCTGCTGCAAAGAACCGCTCTAGAATCTCCCAAGTTTGCAATCAACAAGTGCCTTCCCTGAATATGACCAAATCAATTAATCAATCATTCAATTTTATGGGAGAAAAACCAAAATTTTATTGATTTGTTGTTTAGGGCTTGTACCTTTTTAATTACAGTAACAGCAGTGGCACCGCTGCAGTAGCTATCAATGCTTGCGTCGAGGCTGAGTTCTTGGTCCATCTCTTTGAAGCAATTCATCAAACAGGTTTCCGCAGAGGACAAGAGAAAGGAACCTTTGGCATCTTTTGGTTTGCTAGCCTCGTGATCACTATCCCCATCGCTGCTAAGACTAATGTCGCTGCTATCCAAGTCATTAAGCTGCAACGATTTAATTCCCGCTGACAGCTTTGATGCCAGATTGTCCCTAATATACCTTGATACCTTGTGACCATAAGGCCCATGCCCGTCAAACACACCACAAAATGTCATTCCTTTATCCCCCGTAAATTCCTGGCAAACCCATCGCAACAAAAAAATAACCCTCAATTTCAATAAAAAACCATTGTAATCCCGAGATTTGTATTATTTGAATCAACATAGAGCAGCTTTACCTCCCAGACCGTCATGGCATCTTGATTGACCCCTTTCTTCCCTTGTTGCGTGAACATGGAGATGAATTTGGATGCTCCATGGAGGCGAATGCGAGCACCATCATCGCCGACGAAGACATCATCATCACCGGCGTTGCTCTCGACGTCATATTCATTTTGCTCTTTTGGGTCCTCGGCTTCTTCAGGTCCAAAATGGATCTCAGTGCTACAACAGGCTCCCATTGCAAAATTTGATGGAGCCTGAGGAGTAAGCAACGGGAGCTCAAAGAAAATTTCACCTATTTTTCCTAATAAAACATGAGGCAGACTGATGGAAGCGATGACGCGCCCCCCATCGGCAAGGGGCAATGGAAAACAGAGGAAATTGGATGGCTTACAAATTTAGCAAACGAAGAGCAAAGTGGCAAAGCCGGAAATTACTGAACGCCATGGTTTATATACATACAATTTAAGCTCGTTTCTATTATTGTTTTAATTAGGAACGATTGACAAAAATTAGACTATACCGGAAACAAAGAGAGTACAAGAGATTAACGTTTTGAAGTTATTTGGGGAAAAAGTGGATTATCGATCATTGGAGGATGGCTTCACTAATTCAATCGACCCGCATTTATCGTTCTATTAACGGAAAATGGTGTGTCCTTCGTAAACTGTATTATGCCTCTATGTTTTTTTCTTCTATGATCAATGGTCAATTTTCCTATGGTGTTTTGTTTTCAACAAGAACAGAAATGGCTAGTCAGATATCTAGCAACAAAATAGTCTAGTGACGTCGGATAGCATCCATGGGACAAGGGTGGAAAAATGTTGATATGCTACTAGATATAACTAGGAAAATATATATTACATCTTGACTTTTACATGTAACACCACAAGGAAAAAAAATTATAAACAAAAAAAAGAAAGAGATAAAATGATTGAAACTATAGAAAAATTTCTTTTAAAAAAAGCATAATTTCAGTGTTGTTAAAATAAAATCAAGCAGGTTAGTCCAATAGAAATGGTCGCCAACCTGGCCCAGTTGAGGGATTTTGTTTCCTTTTGAGAATCTGACGGTCGGATATCAATTTGAATGATTGAGCGCTTGAATTAGATGATCGTCTCCAAGCTTCTATCCGCCATAATTTTAAAAAATAAAAGTAAAACCATAGTAATTCCAACTCTTATAAGTCTTAGCTAGGACGGAACAAAATAACACCCACAAAACTTTATATACCAATTTGATCTCCTCTTTTAGTGCCGTCTCTTCTCGCGTTTTGCATGCACCCGTACCAAGGATGGCAATTCTACCAAAATCCATGGATATTTTCTTATCCAATCCAATAGGGTTGGGTATAAACCCAAATACAAGGTAAATGGGTAGAGTTTTATAGGTTGGGTCTTTAATCCTTGGATTTGGGTTGTACCCATATCCAATACACAAATTACAGTTCGGTACCTAAACTTTATAGGTATTAGATTTATTACCTAAAAATATATTTTGAGTATAAGTCGTCAAAGTATCGTTGAGAAATTATATTTGAGTACCTAAATTTTTTGTGTCTTACATTTTGATACCTAAACTTTTTAAGTTTTTATAAATAACTCCAATTTTGTATGAGTAGCTAAACAACATCAAGTAAATGGGCATCCATCACCAATCCATGCCTATTTAGAGAATGAAATCAATACTCATACTCTACCAAAACCCTACTCCAAAACCTCAAACACATATAGACTTTACTCATACCCTACCCATAATCAATGGGTTTACTTGGTTTTGAGTAAAATTACTCATAGATGGATAATTGACGGTTGCAATTGGGTTGAGCGCAACCAAGGCTTCCCCAATAAGACCTTGTACTCCATGGGGCTGCTTCGGGTCGCCAGGACGAACCCGCGGATCAGTTGGATCAAGGGTTTGCGCCCTGAGGAGTTTGCGGAGGCGGTAGAGGCTGAGACTCCTGCCACTGATGGAGTTCCACTGTTTCATCTAGGAATGGCAATGGGGCAGGTCCGGGGTGGGTTTCTTGGTACCCAGATCCGCCCCGTGGCAGGCTGGGTCCAGGTCGGGTAATTGATCACGGGTCGCGGGTCGGGGCAGGTCGACCCAATGGGTGTGCAATTTATATGAAAATATTAAAAATATTCGTTATTTTTATTATAATATTAAGAAAACAAACAATATTATGACAATTGTAGTTAAATTATTGGAGAAATTGAGGTTTTTACTAATTTACAACTTTATTATAGCTAAAATATGATGCAATAAAAGGAAAATTCTAAGTAATTTGACTAAGATTACATGTAAATTAGACAAGAACGGGTCGAGAATGGGGCGGGTCAGGGCAGGTCGATGAGACTACCCATGCCCGCCCCGCCCTGCCTACGGGGTGGGTCGAACCCGCCCCAAAACAGGTCAACTTTCATCCTTATTTCAACCCGCTGCAGTTCTTCCCCGGTTCATCATCAGCTGCACCGTCTGACGACAATTGTGTGGCCATGGATGCTTGCTTCAATCAGATTGAGACGCGCATGAATAATGAGCGTGATGCCCACCGTTACTCTTTCCTACTGCAACGTTTGTGCTCGGTGGCTGATGTTGGCACCGCCTATACATTCTGGCATCCTTTGCATACTTGAGATGATGATGAGGAGGATTGAGACCGCCCCTTGACCGCGGGCTCCATGTGTTATGTTTTGTGTCTTTGTTTTTGTGTGTCGAACTGGATATTTTTGTGTTTTATTTTTCTTTTCTTCTATTAGAAGCCATGGGGCTGACAACTGTTATCCTAACTCTTACCTAGTGTGAGTGATTGTGTTTTGTCTTACCATGATTCTCAGAAACCGGTGCTTCTTCCAGGTTGCTCATGATGACTGGTCTCATCTCCAGTCTGTTCTTCCCGGTAACATCGTTTCCCTTATCCTTCCCTCTTCTCCATTGAGGGAAATGTCGATCTTAAGTGTGGGAGGTGTTTATCTTTGACTACTTAGTTGCGTTTGTGTGCTTGGGGCCTAGTCCACTGTCCAAATTTTACAATTTGAGGGCTCCAAGTACGTGTTCCTAGCAATTTCCTGCTCAGTATGATTTGAATTTACAACTTTTATAGTACTATGTTATTACTCGATATTTACACATGTTTTTGTCCACCATTCCGGTGCCGTTTGAGTCTCATCTCTCGTGTTTTAGGCCGATTTCACGCTAGTTTATTCTTGTTTTTGATATTCAGGTCCTAGTACGTGAAGGAAGGTTTGGGCACGAGTTTGGAGTCGATTGGACGAAGATTGGACGTTTGGCGAGAAGCTGAGGAATCCACACAGGCACGCCTAAAATTCCACACGGTCATGTGACACCAATTTGCACGGGTAGGCCACACTGGCCGTGTAAGGGACCCCTTGTGGCCGTGTGGAAAGTCCGTGCAGCGTGCCTGAAGTCCACTTATCGAAATGCCGCGCTTTGCACTTCCGCATGGGCACCTGGGGATTTCACACGACCGTGTGGTCGGAAAAATCTGGGTTTTAACCCAATTTTCGAGCCAAAGGAGAGGGAATCGACTTTTTGGGAGCAAAAACAGAGCCCTAGAGAGAGAAAGTGCGAAGAACACATCCTATAGGTGATTTTGGAGTTGGGTTTCATCAATCGAGCTTGGAGATCATCATCCTAGAGCATATTTTCCTCATCTTTATGAGTATGACTACTCTGATTAGTGTTTTCCTCTCTCTCTCTCTCTATGGAGTAGAACTTTCTCTCACTTGGGTATGAAGAACCCTAGTTCCATGTGTTAGGGATCTTGATTGTAATGACTTGGGATTGTTATACTGTTTGATTTTAATCGATTGATGCACGATTCATTGAGTCAATTGAAGTCTGATCAATCTACTGCATTGTGCTGGAACCCAATTCCAGTAGTGGAGTTCTGTGCTTATTGCCTCAGCAGTCTATCCCGGTGAAGGCTAGTCGCCTGCCGGTTAGCCTGCCTGAGAGGGCTTGCTCAGTGATTACTCGATATTTGCACATGTTTTCCCCTGTGTTTCTTGATCGTTTGAGCTTTAATTATCACATCTTTGGCCTATTTTACGCTAGGTTGTGTTCCTTTGTCATATTTCAGGTCCTAGCACATAAAGTGAAGCATAGGCGCAAGTTTCAAGTCAATCAGAGATCAATTGGCGATTCGGGAGCAGAAACTCGGGCATGACCTGAAGAAGAATGGATTTCTACCTCACTTTATGGACAAAGAATCATGCAAGTTTGTCATGAAAAGAAATAGGACGTGACTACGAGCGTCTGAGATCAAACGGCGACTGATTCGGAGTCCGGACGAGGGAGAAACGAAGCATTGAATATAGGGGAACAGGTTCGGCAGTAAAAACACGGGCGCGCCTAAATCAAAACACGGCCGTGATCATATTTAGGCACGACCGTGTTTTGGCCAACGCGCCCGGGCGTGTTTTTAACACGGGGGCAAAACACGGGCGGGCAAAATCAAAGCACGGCCGTGCCCGCGACCGTGTTTTGCCCAGAATCGGGTTTTTTAACCCAAATTCGAGCCAAAGGAGAGGGGGGGCTGGGTTTTGGATCCCAAACACCCAAGGGACGAACCAAAGAGAGAGGGGGCGATTTGAGGGCATTCTTGGAGTGGAATTGGAGGATTTCTTCGCCTTGGAAGCTCGAGGAATAAGCCCGGACTTGAAGACTGATCATCTGAAGATTCTTACTGCAGTCTCTCTCTTCTCTATGGAGTAACTTCCCTTCACTTAGGTTTTGAGGAACCCTAGCCATGTTTGTTTGATTGGATGATTGTATGAGTACTCTTACTTGATAATCTTGAGTTCATATTCAATCTATGCATGTTTTCATGATTCAATTCTGCTTTAGTCGAGATTATTGATTCTGCTTTGATCCTGTGAGAGCGAATACCTGATTAGGTCAATAGAGCACCATAGATTGATAGTATTGGATCAACTGCTTTAGTCGAGGGTTGATTCACTGCTTTGTATCGATTGAGAACCTCTTTCGATAGAGGGAGTCTAGTTCAGAACGCCTTGATCGGTTGTTCTAAAGAAGGATACGTCCCTCTAGGCAATTGACTCAAGAGGGCCTTGTTCCTTTAGTCGAGACTCAAGGTTTAGTTGAGGATTCTCGGCATTGCGAATGAAAGTGAAACAGGTTAGAGATCATCAATCATCAATCTGGCTAGTGGCTAGGGGGAATCATACCTAAGTGAGTTCCCAACCTGTAATTAAATTAACCTTAACTGTAGTTTGCTAGAGTAGTTTTAGTTCTTCTATTTTAATCTGGTTTGCTAGATAATGAACTGAAGCTGAGTAATAGTAACTCTAGAGACCCGTGGATTTGATATTTATTACTTGAGCCACTATACTGCAGTCCCTTTCGTTGGTTACACTTGGCCATTGTTAGGAGTTGTGT